ATGATTCCTAAACTAAAGAAACTGAATGGAGAAACAAAAAAAAATCTCTTGCTTCCTTGTGTTTTTTTTTGTTTGTTTGTTTGTTTGTTTGTTTTTTTTTATGCCATGATACATTAAACCCCACTGTTCCTGCATCTGGACTCTGTGGTCACCCTTGACCTCATCTAGGTCCAGTCCAATCCAGTTGACCTGCTCCAGCCCCGATTACTCTGTATTTGTGTGTGTGTGTTGTCAAATGGAGTGACACAGCTTGGAGGCAACCCTTAGCTTTTACACTGAAATAAACTGGGTCAGAACCTAAAGGTTACCAGCAGGAACCCCAAAAAAATGTGTGTAGTGAAAATTATAGCACACCCAAAAATGTCTCCTGTTTTTTTTTTTTAATAAACTTTCTGTGTAAATTATTTAGACTGCACCAAAGCATTTAAATTGAGCATCGGCCACATTTCAGGAGAAGCTAGATTATAGTGTCGTCAGAACTCATCAGCTCTGAACAACTCTAAACATTGACATGACATTATTTTATTGGCCAATCACACAACTCATTGTTTCCCTGTGTGTACAATTTGGTTGGTTTTAAGTGGAATTATCCAAGAACGACTCGGGGTGAGAATCTTTTTTTTTTTTTTTGTCAAGACTGACCTGAAAATGGCAGAAAACTTGAATACAAAGAGCGAAAACAATGGTATCGTAATGTAAATTATTAGTTTTTGACCCAAGTATTTTACTGAAAACACCAAAACAAATGACTGAACAAGACTCACCTTCTTTTGGTTAGAAGTAAAAATAAAGCAAATGTTTTATTTATTAATTTAAACCAGTCTAATTGAGGTTTTCATACAGTTTGTAATGCATCCTAATTTTGTGCTTTTGAAACAGATTTTCATTGATCTTTATTTTATTAATCCCAACTAACCAAAGTTTCAAAATCTTTGGTTGTTTAATCGTCAGACTGATGAAGGAGTCTTCGTCCACAGCTGCTCCCTGTGAGGACACGATGCAGGGCTTCACATGATCACTGATTTGATTTTTAATGCAATTAGAAAAGTGTGGTAATCTGCTCTACAGTTGTCAAAGTCTGTAAGACTGACACACACACACACACTCTTGATTCCAACCCCCCCCCACCCCACGCCTCCAGTCTGTCAAACCTCCATCCATCTTTTCTCGTCCATCATGCGGCTCCTTTATTTTTCCTTCTTCTTCTGCCGCGGTCCCTCAGCTGTCAGTGCAGCCAGTCATGTGTGTGTGAGTTACAGCTGGACCACCTGCTGCTCACACCACAAACACACCTGTCAATCTAATGTATTCTATAACCGAGGAGTTTCTGAAAGAAATGTGGTCTCTAATTGAAAGATTGAGTTCAGTCAGTCTTTGTCACCTGCTGTTTTACATTCTCGCCTTTCGTTCTCTTGGGTGTAAACAACAACAACAACAAAAAAAAAACACTAATGTGTGTAAATGTCTACAAATGTCAAACTGCACAGATCTGCGTCCTCCCATCACACACTGTGCCTCCATCTTCAAATCAGGGCTCATTATTTCTCATCTGTCTCCACTTTGTTGCTCTTCAGTCACCAATATATACTGTATAAAAAATATATTAAAAAAAACAACACAACTCCGTTTGACCATCTGACATAATCAATTCCTTTGCACTCGAGTGTCTGATTATCGAAGGTCTACTCTTTAACATTCCAGTCCAGTATATATAAACACATGCACATATATCTTATAATATGTGCTCTGCCAAGAAGCAGCTCTGGGGCTTTTCCATATTTTCACGTTTTAACTTCCAGTGTGTAAAATGGGAAAAAGTGACATCTAGAGGTAAGGCCAAAAATTGCAATAAATTGGCTATTTATTTCCTTCAGTGTGTTCAAAGACTAGAAACTGTTGCCTCGTATGAAGAATGACGACTAAGTTTATCTAATTATTTCTTTTTTATTGGCTTGTCTTTTTTTTCCATCAGATTGCAGAAATGCATATACTTGTTTTGTTTGGTCCATCCAAGCCACTGTAAAACTTAGCAAAGTACTATATACTCAGAGTACAAATACAAGGCTTATTCCAACTCTTTACAACAACCAAATTTGTTTTCGTTGTAATCCCAGCAAACGACAATGTGGTCCAATGCGATCCTCCCAAATGTTACACACTGGACCTTAAAACTCTTTCTCACACAACAGACCTGTAGAAAATTTCTGTCCAACAAAATGTTTATGAAGGAGCCACAAATGAAGGGAGCATTGACCTGTTCCCTTTATATACATGTACATGTATATGCTAGTTATTTAAAACTGATTAGGATAGTGCATTAGCTTAGTGACATATTTAAGAAGAAAAAAAAAGATTGCGGCTTCTGAACATTATTTATATTTGTTGTACAATGCTCGATGGTCCCCTCAAGCCTTAAATCTCTCTCTCTCTCTCTCTCTCTCTCTCTCTCTCTCTCTCATCTTTGCATTGACGTGTGTCGTGTTTTGATTTCTTAGGATTGTTGGGACGATGCTTGACGAGATGAACACACACCCAGTCAGAGTTAGAAGATATTTTTCACCAGGTTCAGTCTCTCAAGCATCTTTGTTGAAAATATGGAAGATTAGAATCAGAGATGGAAACCAAGTCCAGTGGTCTGTGTGTGTCCTTTAGAAACTGCACTGTAAAATAAAAAACAAAAACAAAAAAACTACTTACATTCATCCTAATAAAGCCCTTGTTGGAACAGTCACTGAGTCTGAGTCTGATTTATAAAATCTGCTAGTTTTATTGGCTTTTTATTCATATCTTCATTCCATTTGTTGGATATTATTGTACATGCCATTGCTTGCACTCGTGGAATAACTTTTATATATTTTCCTTCTTTATATATGTTTATCTGGGATTTATGTAAGTTTTAAACAGTGGTTCCCGAACATTTTTGGACAAACATTTCCGGTATTACTTTAAATCTAAGCTTTTGTTTTGAAAATCAGCGGATATGTTGTTAATAGCCCCGTTCTCGCATCAGCTTGTTGTTCCTAATTGACAGGTACGTTGTCGATGCTACAGTATTTAAAAGTTATTTAAAGTTAAAACAAAATTAATGAGTAAATGCAGCCTCGTTCGGAGATGTTTTACTCGTGTTTTTTGTCATTTAGTGTTGTCATGGGAACAGTTTTGAGCAAAAGCGGGAAAGCTGTTTTTACCGTGGTTTCTCCCTGGATGTGTGTGCACGAGCGAACGTGAACGTGTGTGGTGCGCGTATTTCTTTTATGTTATTTCCTGTATGTTTAACATATTTTATTTTCTTGTTAGGTTTTTAATGGAAAGGATGTTCGTCTCACTCACGCTTACATGTTTTATCATCATCGTGCAGGTACGTGTGTTTGTGGTTTCTCAGTTTCCATTAGTCAATGATGTTATCTAAGTTGAGTTCATTTGTGTTGTTCCTGATTGAGGTGGGTTTTAATGAAAAGGATGTTTGTTTACGTATATATACACATATATACAGTACACACACACACACATATATATATATATATACAGTATATATATTGTAACTTTAAACAACTTTTTAAAGAAAGACAACTGACCACATGATCTGAACAATAGGTCATGTAAGGTGATATTTGTGTTTCGTTAGCTTTGGTATATATCTCTGGTTATCATGTGTATTTGTATGAAGTGAGTCCCATGTTTATGTGTTGAGCACATTGTGTACTTGGTTGTGGTTTTATGGATATTTCATATTTTTATATTTTATACAGTGCATACAAATGCTGAAAAAATTGTGAGTGAGACAATAACATATTCCATCACAGGAGAGTGAGAGTGAAACTTTATTAAAATATTGGACGGACACACTGCTTGCAGCAGACACAGAAGTGGCACAGAGCAACGATGACGAGTTGTTTGTTTTTATAGTGGTTTTTAACATTTTAACTTCAGCAGCAGCTTGACAGAACCAGGACTGATGCTCTGGAGTGACAGGTCCAAACACTGCACCACCTCCGCCACACACCATCCATCCACCTGTCTTCATTTCCATTGGCCCTTTTCATAGTCCCACTTGGCTGAGAAGCCCTCGACTGGGTTGGCTCTCATGTCCAACATCCTCTTCAGCTGTTTGGCCTGCCATTCCTCGTCAAAAGTCCTGGGAGTCTTTGGGTAGACTGGACAAAAACAAGAAACATGACATGTGTAAACACACTTCAGGACTGTAGTATTCGGAGACTGGTCACATGGATTATCTTAGAACAGTCATCCTCAAATATCCAGCTTTAGGGCTCACCGTCAGCCCATAAAGACAAGACGTGACCAAAATAGAGGAAAATGTTCAACTTCTCAGAATTGTTGTATCAAAAGATGAGGTAGTTTGAACCTGAGATAAGATATCACAGTGTGATGAAGTAAGACACATGTGATGTCCTTGGCTTTTGAAGTCATCTTCTAAAGTAATCTGTGGGGTTATCTTTAACAATGGTTCTCTGTTCCTGAATTTTGACACCTGAATGCTTTCACATGGCGACTCATCGGTGTAAGAAACACTCCGAGTTACTTTGTACTCACTACAAAGAAAGTCAGACATATGCTAATGAAGTCATCATGCTACATCAGTGAAGCTGTTTGTGGGGATGGTAGGACAATTTCAAGGGCCCCTGTCTGATGTGGGCCCAAAAAATATTAATTTTAAGAATGTCTGAAATTAACTTTTTGCTGATATCCAATATGCCGTTATTGTCCAAACACTTAATTTCCGATTCCGATATCAACCGATATAGTGGTGGTTAAGGAATTTAAGGTGATGGGTTAAAACAGTGTTTCTCAATTATTTTCTGCCCCCCTGGGGGCCATAATTGAAATACTATTGGAGAATACATTCTGTATTATCAAAATAGCTTTATAAAATGAGCTGTTCTGCTGCCATCTAGTGACTAGAAGGTTGTTTATCGTTCATAATGTTCTGTTCACGTGTTATGAGGGAGTTAACAGTTACTGGTATGGGAGAGGGAGTGTAAATCTCATCCCCTGCAGGTGAAATACAGTTTGTGCGTGTTGGCTGTGGAGCATCTTTGATGAATGTCGACAAGGATTTATTAGGTTGGTGGCTCATGTACTGAGAAGCTAACGCGGAAAATAATTTATTTTATTTGCAAGACAAGACACACACACGCACACACACTGTCCCTACATGAAGCGACAAACCTCACCACTAAAACAGAGGAGTATTGTCCCGTTTGTGAAATGTTTGTGTGCTACAGCTAATGGTGCCCCTCACCCCCAGCTCCCTAAAAACTCTCATTTGTGCCCCAGCTGGCACCTGGTGCACATTACACATAAGTCACTGTTGTGACTTATTGTGCTTGTTGGCCGACTGTCTCTGTTGAATATGAATGTCCTGGGGCATAGTTGCATTAACATAAGCTAATTCCACCAGTAGACCCTACAGTAGCAGTGGATCTCGTCATGCAGTTGCAACAGTGCAGTTGAACATACTCCTTTTCCTAATAATGATAAATAAATAAACAAATAAAGCTTGGTGTTTACCAAAGACTTTCTGCCACCACACTACTAGACCAGAGATGCCCAGAAAGATTAACGCAACTCCCACGACAGTTTTCCACTCGTCAGACGGCTGCTTCATCTCTGGGAAGGTCTGACAGAACATCATTCGATACACTGCAGGGCGTCAGGGGGAACAGCAGGAACATGAAAAGTGTCAGAAACAGCAACAACATAAATCGTTTTTTGTTTTATTTTCTACATTGCTTAGTCTTACAGGCGATCTTCTCCTCTTTGGTCAGTTGGCTCCAGGGTCCTTCCTCCTTCTTCTTCAGGCTCTGTTCTTCAGCACTCAGGTTGTCTTTGTAGGGTTTGTCCGGCAGAGGAATGTCCAAACGATCGACGTACATGGGCTGAGACATGTCCGTCTGTGACACTTCTGCAGAGACAATTATCAGAATATTAGAAAAAGACGTGTCCTCCACTGTGTGAACCATAGAAGGTAGTTAACATCGGTACTGCAGTGCCATCTGCTGGTGTGTTTGAGAGAGTAGACGGTCAACCCAACTGAGTGGTTTCTGGGAATTAAACTCAAACTTAAGGCCAAAGGTCAGGATTCTATTCTGAAAAACAATTCCTGCGTTTCAGTTTACCCTCCGTACCACTAGAGGGAGTCCTCGTATGGTTCAAGTATTACATTCTAAAGTATGTTTTCAGTTTATTATGTTTTTTTTTAAATTAGTATTTTAATATTAGACATATACATACATAATAGATTATTTACAACGTAAAAGTTGAACCTATTACTGTTCAATTTCTGGACCTGGCCTTAATGTTAAGATACCTTCAATGTACAAAGACACAAAGAGTCAATATTTTTACCATGGCTGTGACTTGCCATCCTTACACTGCTGCTGGACAAGGCTGCAGTTACACGCCTGGCCAGGAGGCTGCCCAGCCGTCCTGTGGTCAGGTGGAGCATCTGAAAACAAATGAGAACATCTGATTAAAGTGAGCCAGGGAACAGACCTGTGGTCTGATGATGGATCCCAGCATACATGATTGGTCAACTCAGCTGAAACCAACCAAAGTCATTGAACTATAGTGGGCTAGAAATTCTAATATAAGGAATATAAAATAAAAGAAAAATGTATATAATTTGAAAATATTTATTAAAAAATTAATTATTAAAAATATTTGAAAAAGTATAAATTATAAAACATTTTTTTAAATTAAGTTAAAAATAAATTAAATTAAATTATAAAAAATAACATGCTGATTTAAAGAGTGAGTTTGAACGGGAAACATAAAATTTAAATTTTGTGGGCCTGGAAATAATATATCCACAGCATGATAGTGGTATGTAATATGACATGTTACCAAATTTCTTTGATAGATACTTTTTTCAAATTCAGATTTACCTCTGAAAAAGTGTCTGTGTGTTTGCTGTGCAGCCAAAATGCTGCTAATGTGATTTTTATCCTACTCTACTTTGTGTTGTTAATTGTCGTCTGTTTTCTTTGTCAATAGGTTTTTAGGAGGCCATTTTAAGTTTAATATCAATTCTTATTACAAACTGTAAAGTTCATTAAGACAAATGTGTTTGGTGATTTTTGTGACTTGACTTCTGAAACCAACCAGACCACAGCCTCCCTACAGTCTATGATGACTCCACAGTGCTGCTATGAGTCCTGTTGTGTATGATTGGTGTCTGACTGATATTTTTGTGTTTTGTTTTGTGGTTTCTTGCACTGAAGAATACATTGCTCTCTTCTCACACTCTTTAGATACAAAAACCTCAGCTGTGAGTCTGCTTTACTGATAATTGTTTAAAAAAAATTCTCGATGAAGAAACTTTATCACTCCAAATGTAGTTGCTCTCATGGCGAATATACCCTCCCACCTGTTTCTGTAGCTAATAACACACACACACACACTGACGCATGCACGTACAGGGGACGTAGTAAACATGGCGGAAACTGGCAGTTTGTCAATTTCACAGTCCTTTCTGACCTTCTAAGCGGGACGACATTTCAATGAAAGTTTCACCTTTTTCTTCTTTTTAATTCAGTCGGTTTGAACGTAAAAGTGTTTTATTTAGACACAAGAAATTCTGCAGGAAACTCTGCCACATTTCCAGAATCTTTATGTCTGCGCAGCATCTAAAGAGTTCCCTACAGTAAAACAGCTGTTTTACATATATATATATTTAAGGCCAAGAGTAAATCTGAGTTGATTCAGAGTCATGGTCCAGAGTCTGCTCTACACGTACGCCACTCTGTGTGAGTGTAGGTATGACGACAGGGAAGTTAAGGACAGGCAGGGCTGGATCTGGCCCTCTCTCTCTCTCTCTCTCTTTCTCTCTCTCTCAGTCGTCTGCACGGCTACACTTGCTGCCAAATGCAGTGAATCAGATGGATTCCATACTTACGGCGGCTCTGAGAGAAGAAGCTGCAGAGTCAGAGGATGCAAGAGATCCAAAAGTGGAAAGGAAGCTGTCTCTCCTTTTACTGTTTTTGTCTAATGCTGTCCTCTCTGTGACAAAACACTGATCCGAAACCAACTGTTGGGCGGGTGAGCGAAGCTAAGAGGGAGGAGGAAGGAACCAGAGGGGCAAGGCAAAGAGGGAGGGAGTTGGAAAAGAGAGAAATCAAACCACCAATACCAGTAAACAGCCACGTGTTAGGGAGGCAGGGACGGCACAAAGAGAAAGTGGATTGGAGACCAAATGAAGACACTTAATACACGGAACGGCCACGAGGGTGGGGCCAAGGTTCTGGGTCTGAGGTCACATGAGAGTGCGGGTGGTGCTGGTGTTACTGTATGATAGAAACGAGCATGTGTTTGAAACAGTTCAGTCCTCTGAGGTCCTGGAGAACTTGATGAATACAAAAGGACAAGGAGATAAAGTTGAACATTTCACCCTCTGACACTTCCACAAGTTCATGTTGGCAGCAGGCCATCACTTCATAGTTTGGCAGTGATCCTGGAGGCAAGTCTGCAGTAGGAGAGAGGGTGGAGTTAGAGCTCACAGAGCAGCCAATGGTCCACAGCTGCAGTGGAGAGTGGGCGGAGCCTGGGAGCAGGGTGTCTGAGGTCAGGTTAGGACACTCAAGTTCTGTCTCCGACCTCAGTCTGTTTGTGACATGAGCTGAAAGAGTCGGCCGTACAGTTATAAACTGTACGGGTGGAAGAATTGTGTACAATTAGTCGTTCAACATGAAGCTACATGGAGGAATTTGTCTGTATTCTGTCAGGAAGCTACTGTATATACTTTTATTAGTGATATTATGAATCAAATATTTTGGCTTACTTTAAACTTTCCTTCAGATAAACATTTACTGTCCTGGTTTATTAAGCTATATTTTGGTTATTTTTTGGAATGGTAATTTTACGAGCTTCTCTTAATATTTTCTTCTAGGGTTTATATTACATTTTATTATATTAAATAATATTATGGGTAACTTTAAAGAACAGTATTCCATACTTTGTGAGACATTGTCACCAGTTCTGATTCGGAATTTAAGGAATGTTATGTTTATGACTTGACATTTACTCAAGTAGAGCATCTGATTTAAATGCCTTTCTAAAGTCCTTTAAATTTAAAAAAGGTCAAACATGGCTGACTTGATGTGAGAAGTTTTAACTTAAACTTAGACATATTATTAGTTCAATATTTGTTTTCAAATGGCTCAGTGGGGGTTGGGCTCCCTCTAGTGGAGTAGGTAGTTATTGGGGGAGGAAAAGCAAGTCATATGTACAGCGTTTACTTTTAATATTTTCTTTACTTTGAAAATGTGAACTGATGCCTTTCATCTGTTCAATTAGAATATCATTGTTGTTTTTGTTTCATTACAGTGAATGTGTCAACATGGTGGGCTGGACTGGAGTCAACAGAATCTAAAAAGAACAACAACAACAAAAAACAGTACAGGTATGAATGCTCCACAGCATACATGTCAAACTCAAGACCCGGGGGCCAAATGCGGCCGGCCAAGCCATTTTGTGTGGCCCACAGCAGCTTAAAAAGCATTTAGTAAAGTCCATGAAGCAGAGTATCCTAACCTAAGAAATTAAAAGTTTTTTTATTACACAGCAATGAATAATATTTGTAGCTTAAATAAATAATAATCAATTACAGAAACATGTGTTAGTCTGTTATAGAGTAGTTACATCTATACCAGTGTTCCCCAACCTTTTTTGTTCCAAGGACTGGTCAACCAGTACCTGTTACTACAGACCAGTACCAAGGAGCTGAGCATTGGAGGATCATTACATTTTCAAAATTAAACATCCTTTAGACTCTATTCTGCTTGTATCAGAGTCTGAATGAAATATTTTAAAATCTTGACAAATTATCTTTGAATATAGAAAGTAAACGGATATGACTGAAGTACCAAATGACCTATGGACCGGTACTGGTCCGCGGAGCGGGGGTTGGGGACCCCTGATCTATACAGTCTTCCATTTACAACCGGCCCTTCAGGGGAAACTGTATTGCTCATGTGGCCCGTGGTGAAAATGAGTTTGACAGCCCTGCTCTGCACTAACAATAGCAGCCCTCACAACTGTAGACCATCGTAGCAGTGTGTTAGTGTGTTTGTGTGTTAGTGTGCGGGGATGCAGTCACGTGCTTGTCCGCCCGCTGTCATTGTATCATTGTTCAACAACATTACACTTGTTTATCCCTGAGTGTACGTGCTGTGACTTCATCTGAGTCTGGGCCCAGTGCACACACCAACACATGACATCAAAGTCCATCAGCAGAAATGAACAAGAGTCTGTTCAAACTCATCTACGTGTAGAGATGTTTATGTCACAGTGTTCTCCGGTGTTCCTAGAAGAACTTAAACATTGTTTGAGTCACTGGTTGACTTTGTTTTTCAGCGATTGATGTGAGACACGTTCATGTGACGCTTGAATTTTAGCGAGAAGGTCAGGCATTAAATGCAGATCTGCTGTAAATGTGCACCTGTGTGTGCTGTCGGACATACTTAAAACTTAATATTTATGGAAAAAGTGATGGCAACTGTGCATGTTTTCCCTTCTCTCCAGATCTATAATGAATGATTTCTTCATATGGAAACACTTTAGTTTTGCGTAAACATTGAATCTAGAACAACCAAAGACACACATCAGTAGGATTTGTTTCTTTATGTCTCTTTATCTGTAGCCTTTGGAATTCTTTTTCAATGTAAATCTTTTTTTCACAGGCCAACAACAAAAAAAAGCGTAATGTGTGAACTAACATAGCGCATAAACCGCTAATACTACAAATCCCGGGCCAAATATTTACACTAATTACACTGCTGTCCATATAACAGTACAGTGGTGTTGAGCAGATGCAGTTAGTCTTTAACTTTGGTCTCTAGTGTTTGCTGTTGATTGCAACAAACAACAGTCATTCGGAAGAATTGTCCACTAGATGGCAGCATGTCACAACTACCGAATTGTCAACAGCCCGTTAAACTACTCCTGGACGGCAAACGTCCAAGAATTGAAGCTTTTTTAAAAACAAGGCTCATGTTTCAATGTTTGTCAGTTGGAACAGACAGTGGTGTTCGTTTCAGGAACTAGTTCTGGATCAGGTCAGATTACAGCCGGATGAAAACATCTGCTCCCTTTCTACAGACTAACACTTGCCCCAAGACTGTATTGCAATTACCGTCATTTAAGCAGTTAGTGTAAACTGTGCTCAACCACAGAAGAATTAGAAACAGGAGTGTGACTTCATTTTTAAAACTAATTACCGTTGAACTGAACACAAGCGGGTTCTTGCTGCACTGCAGTTGCATGAAAAAGTTATGAAAAAGAGGGAAATTCAAACATTTTATTTGAAAGTCAGGACTAACTGGAAATCAGTTAATCATTTATTGAAAACACAATTTCTTTGCATCTGCAGCAGCTCAGTGTGTAATGATCTTCGACCCAGTAGTCCAGCGTGGCCATCTTACCCAACGCTGTATCATTCTAAATCCCAGATCAGCACTGAGGGTTGTTTACCATAGCACTCTATCAATCTGCAGTAATGAACATTAATCTTCTCTGCAGATTTTCTGTCCAGGCGACCCTTAAAGACATTTCACTTCTTCTTCTTCTTTTGTGCATTTAAATAGTTGGTTCATGTTTTTATAAGGTGGGCTGTTGTACATTGTGCCTTATCTCTGTACTGGGAAACACAAGTACCATTGAGCACACAAGGGCTCACTCCCACACAACTGTGATAAAATATGTTGCAGCCTTATCTCTTCAAAAACAAAAGCTAACACTATATAAATCAGCACTGAATGAGCAGCTCTTAATGCTAATACTGAAGAAAATCTATCCATCCGTCTATCTGTCTGTATCTATCCATCCAACCATCCGTCTGTCCATCCATCTATCCATCCATCCGTCTATCTGTCTGTCTATCTATACATCCAACCATCCGTCTGTCCATCCATCTATCTATCTTTCTATCTATCCATCCAACCATCCGTCTGTCCGTCCATCTATCCATCCATCCGTCTATCTATCCATCCAACCATCCGTCTGTCCGTCCGTCCATCCATCCATCTATCCATCCATCCGTCTATCTATCCATCCAACCATCCGTCTGTCCGTCCGTCCATCCATCCATCTATCCATCCATCCGTCTATCTATCCATCCAACCATCCGTCTGTCCGTCCATCTATCCATCCATCCGTCTATCTATCCATCCAACCATCCGTCTGTCCGTCCATCTATCCATCCATCCGTCTATCTATCCATCCAACCATCCGTCTGTCCATCCATCTATCCATCCATCCGTCTATCTGTCTATCTATCCATCCGTCTGTCCATCCATCATCCATCTATCTATCTGTCTGTCTATCTATCCGTCCAACCATCGGTCTGTTCGTCCGTCCATCCACCCATCCATCTATACTTCGAAAGAATATAGTATGACTATGGTCTAATTGTGAGACACCACAACGACTGTTTAGTCCACTGTATGTCTCTGCTGCTGTCATTAAAATAACATCTGTGTCTCAGTCTCTCGGAGCAGCTTTGCACTGTCAGTGTGTCTTTCTACAGCACATACGTCAACAAAGTCTTGAACTATAACATGAATGGCTTACACAGATGCATCATGGTCAGCGACCACTTCATCTGGGACGCTGCTGTCTGTAAATGTCATCATCTTAACCACCTACTGTCCAAACAGCCCGCCTTCATTTTTCATTTCTGCCAAAGCAGCGATAACATTGTGCGGCATGACTTTATTTTCATTTTTCCAGAGTTGTTTCTAAGTGAGCTGAGGGTTAAGTCAACCTCACCGAGAGGTTTCTGAGCTGCAGCTACAAAGCTGCTGTGTCTACAAAGAGCAGCAGCTGCCGGGACAATGCAGACACAGTATGGCACGTGTTCTTCATTCATTTATGGAAATGAGGTGAAGACCGTGACGCTGCAAATAACCCACAATCCACCCCTGCTGCCCCTCAGCCCGCCCGAACACACAGTGCTCTTTATCCCCTCTGGGGTTTAACCCCACTTTGACCCAGCGCCGCCCTCTGCTGTCCCACTGTTCCACCCTCTGCTGTCCCACTGGAGTTTGGAGACGTTTCTTCATCTCTCAGGAGAAAAAAAAAGCGTTTACCATTTGTCATCTTTTCTTTTCTCTTTGTTTGCCTCTCACCCATCATCTGCTTTCATAACAAAACAACTGCAGGATGGAGAAGGTGGGCGGATATCAGCCTGGAGTGTCAGTTTTCAGTCAGTCTGGTATGATAAAGGGCTAGTTTAGGTTTTTTTTTTCTTGGGTGTATGTGTGTGTTTTTCAGCTCAGATGTTTGAAGGACTGACACATGGTCAGTGCTGGGGCCAGGAACCAGCCTGAGGCACATGATCAGTATCTCTGAAAACACGGTTGTCAGCTGAAACACAAGAGGAAAACAGATTATGGCTTAAACACTGGTTCACCTGATGAAACCAAAACCTTTTTCATGTCTTTCATCATCTACAGCCACCCCCACTAAAACCTTCATTTTTCACCTGAACAGCAATAATACCAATTGGAGTGTTTCAAATCTGCATAAAATGGCGATAAAAATTAGTAGATATTTTAGAAAATGTTATTTTTTAAATAAAAAATAGTGTTATTATAGCTTAAACATTGAGTATAAATGTTTTTTTTTTTCATTTTTAAATGACAAACTCAATACTTACTAATACTTGAGTAAAAAAAGAGAGGAAAATAAATGTAAAAAACATATGTCAAGGAAAAATGTAATTATTATTGACATCTATCTTTGGGCTCAATAATGGGGCTTGTGGGCCAGAAGTGGTCCATGGGCTGGGAGATTCAGGCTCCTGCTGTAGACCAATAAGAATGCCCCAAAAGTAGATCTTAAACTAGCTAGATCATGAACAATTAAAACAAGTTTTAAGAGTCCTGATAGTCCAGCTAATAATAATGCTTATAATATCTTTATTATTAAAACATTGAAAAAAATTGAGAATTACATTGAGAACCCCGCAGCCCACAGATTGAGCCACATTTGTGTCTGACTCCAGAACATGTCAGGATCCTGTGAATTCACGCTATTTAACCTTTAACATCCAATCACAGCTCATCACCACAGCAGACCCTCAGTCACGAGACGTCGAATGGGGGGAAAAAAAATTCCCAACATTGTGAATGTGAATGTAGGTCAGAGGAAGAAGAACCTAGCATGGTGGTTCTTGACCTTTCTGTGGATGCTCTTTTTCAGTGGTCTGTCATGGTTTGACCTCAGCTGGTCCAGACCGGTTTCTCTGGCCTCGTCCATGTCGTGGAGCAGTTCTGGAACTTGGCGGCTCGTGATCACACGTGTATGTGTGTGACAGTGAATTTGCGTGAATGTCTGTTTTCCCTCCTCTTCGCTCCCTGAGGCATTGTGAAGAAGTGGGTCAATGTACCATGGCTCCCATGCTAACTCACTGCCCCTCTTCCTCTCTCTCTCTCTCTCTCTCTCCCTCATTACTCCTCTTCCCCATCACTCCTGCCGTCCTCTGCTCAGTTGCTTTGCG